CCAGGGCTTCCTGACAAGCCCAGTCCCTTGGTGCTGGCGGCTGACCCCTGGGGCCCAAGGATACCAGGTTCGGGGGTGAGGGACCTTTGAACCCAGCCTCCCAGACTCTTAACCTGACACCTCCCAGATGAACCTGAGGCCAGGTGCCCAGTGCCCACAGCAGGCTGGAAGACCCCATAGGGCAGTGACTCCCAGGACGACATACAGCTGTCCTCCAGTCGGCCTGGATCCTCTCACCCAGCAGACCCATCGCCATGCTTTTCTGGGGAATGTGCTGGGGCTGGGACGCTCGAGCTTCTTGGCCCACAATCAAAGTGGCTTCCTCGGAGGAGGAAGTCCAGGGGGTCCAGGACTCCTCTTGCTTCTCTCCTCACCCAACCCAAAGGGCAACCTTCTCACATTCCCTCAGAACCAGGAAGTTCACCAAAAAAAAAAGGTCTATCTGATTTCCTCTGCTCAACCAGTTCCCTGGCCACCTGAGGCCCGGCTTTGCCTGGAGGAAGACAGTGGTCAGTTCCCAGGCTTCCTGCCAGAGGAAGAAGGACCCTGGCCTCCCCTGCCTGCCTCAGGCAGTGAGGTAACTCATCCCTCCTCTCCTGCCACTTCACCCTCCAAGCCCTGCCCAGAGAACTTAGGAGGCCTCTGGAACCTCTTGGGGACAGTCCCTCACACTTGCCCCACGGAGTACGTGTCCATGTGAATGCCCACCCTCCCCCAGGAAGCCCAAATCTAAGACATGCTGAGACTCCCACCTGCCCCCGTCCCAGCTTCCGCAGCTGGCCCTTCTGTGCAGCCCTTCCAGGAAACCCTGGCTGACCTGAGTTCTCAGCTTTGGGCTCTGGGCTCTCAGCTTGACTGAACCCTCCCCACGTCCCCAGGGAGGCCAGTGGTGACTAGTCTTAAACTGAGCTTGTAGGGGATCTGGGGACACCCACCCCAGATACAAACACATCCCCACCTTTGCACTGTTTGGACTAAAATCTCCTTGGGCATGCGCTGCTCCTGTACGTTTGCTAAAAAACCAGCTGGCAGAAGGCAAATTCACTGGATAAAAGGTATGTGGTCTGCAAATTTATTGATGTGCATGCATGGGAGTCTTCAAAACGAAGACCCAAAGATACAGGGGAAATTGCCATTTTTATGTTTAGGCTCAACAAGGTATGGAGAACCATGCAGGAAGAAAAATGAACAACAGGGCGTGTGCTAACCCTTACCCTAACCCTAACCCTAATCCTAATCCTAACCCTACTCTGCTAACCCTACTCTCCCGACCCTACTGCACTGATCCTACTGCCCTGACCCTACTGCCCTGACCCTACTGCACTGATTCTACTGCACTGACCCTACTGCACTGACCCTACTGCACTGATTCTACTGCCCTGACCCTACTGCCCTGACCCTACTGCACTGATCCTACTGCCCTGACCCTACCGCACTGACCCTACTGCCCTGACCCTACTGTACTGATTCTACTGCCCTGACCCTACTGCACTGACCCTACTGCACTGATTCTACTGCCCTGACCCTACTGCACTGACCCTACTGCACTGACCCTACTGCACTGATTCTACTGCCCTGACCCTACTGCCCTGACCCTACTGCACTGATCCTACTGCCCTGACCCTACTGCACTGACCCTACTGCCCTGACCCTACTGCACTGACCCTACTGCACTGACCCTACTGCACTGATTCTACTGCCCTGACCCTACTGCCCTGACCCTACTGCACTGATCCTACTGCCCTGACCCTACTGCACTGACCCTACCGCACTGACCCTACTGCCCTGACCCTACTGCACTGATTCTACTGCCCTGATCCTACTGCACTGACCCTACCGCACTGACCCTACTGCCCTGACCCTACTGCACTGATTCTACTGCCCTGACCCTACTGCACTGACCCTACCGCACTGACCCTACTGCCCTGACCCTACTGCACTGATCCTACTGCCCTGACCCAAGTGCCCTGACCCTACTGCACTGACTCTACTGCACTGATCCTACTGCCCTGACCCTACTGCCCTGACCCTACTGCACTGACCCTACTGCCCTGACCCTACTGCACTGACCCTACTGCACTGACTCTACTGCACTGATTCTACTGCCCTGACCCTACTGCCCTGACCCTACTGCACTGATCCTACTGCCCTGACCCTACTGCACTGACCCTACCGCACTGACCCTACTGCCCTGACCCTACTGCACTGATTCTACTGCCCTGACCCTACTGCACTGACCCTACTGCACTGACCCTACTGCCCTGACCCTACTGCACTGATCCTACTGCCCTGACCCAAGTGCCCTGACCCTACTGCACTGACTCTACTGCACTGATCCTACTGCCCTGACCCTACTGCCCTGACCCTACTGCACTGACCCTAATGCCCTAACCCTACTGCCCTCACCCTACTGCCCTCACCCTACTGCCCTCACTGTACTGCCCTCACCCTACTATGCTAATCCCACTGCGCTAATCCTACTGCATGAAACCTACTATGCTAACCCCACTGTGCTAACCCTGCTATACTAACCCCACTGTGCTAACCCTACTATGCTAACCCCACTGCACTAACCCTACTATGCTAACCCCACTGCGCTAACCCTACTATGCTAACCCCAATGCGCTAACCCTACTGCACTAACCCTACTATGCTAACCCCACTGTGCTAACCCCATTGCACTAACCCTACTGCGCTAATCCCACTGCGCTAACTCTACTGTGCTAACCGTACTGCACTAACCCTACTGCGCTAACCCCACTGCACTAACCCCACTGCACTAACCCCACTGCACTAACGCCACTGCGCTAACCCTACTGTGCTAACCCCACTGCACTAACCCTACTATGCTAACACGACTGTGCTAAACCTACTGCACTAACCCTACTATGCTAACACGACTGTGCTAAACCTACTGCACTAACCCTACTATGCTAACCCGACTGTGCTAACCCCACTGTGCTAATCCCACTGCACTAACCCTACTGCGCTAACCCCACTGCACTAACCCTACTATGCTAACCCCACTGCGCTAACCCTACTATGCTAACCCCACTGCACTAACCCTACTGTGCTAACCCCACTGTGCTAACCCTACTGCACTAACCCTACTATGCTAACCCCACTGTTCTAAACCCACTGCGCTAATCCCACTGCGCTAACTCTACCTTGCTAACCCTACTGTGCTAACCCCACTGCACTAACCCTACTGCACTAACCCTACTGTGCTAACCCAGTGCGCTAACCCTACTGTGCTAACCCTACTGCACTAACCCCGCTATGCTAACCCCACTGTACTAACTCCACTGCGCTAACCCTACTGTGCTAACCGCACTGCACTAACCCTACTGTGCTAACCCCACTGCGCTAACCCTACTGCACTAACTCTACTATGCTAACCCGACTGTGCTAACCCCACTGCGCTAATCCCACTGCGCTAACCCTACTGCGCTAACCCCACTGCACTAACCCTACTATGCTAACCCCACTGCGCTAACCCAACTGCGCTAACCCTACTGCACTAACCCTACTATGCTAACCCCACTGTGCTAATCCCACTGCGCTAACCCTACTGCGCTAACCCCACTGCGCTAACCCCACTGCACTAACCTTACTGCGCTAACCCTACTATGCTAACCCTACTGCGCTAACCCCACTGCGCTAACCCTACTGCGCTAGCTCCACTGCACTAGTGCTACTGGATCGCGAGCCGAAACGCAGGGAGGGCTGTCGCTCCAGTTTTCGTGAACTTTCTGAGCAGCATTCCTTCCTTCTGGGCCTGGGACAGGACCCTCCTGGAATGGAGTCTTATGCCCTACGGTCAAATAAGGCGGGTCACATCATTTATTTAAGTCCAGTTTTTAAACAGAGAGGTGGAGGGAAAGTTAGAGCAATATTTTTAGGTTTGATGTCTGGCTGTGGGAACGGAGTCGGGGTTCAGATTTCTATGGCCTGCCTTGGGGAAAAGGGATTCTAGTGTCTCTGGCCAGCTTTGGGGAGGAATGGCGCTGAGAGACAGCAGAGCGGAAGGTCAGAGGAAAGCTCTTGCTTCTGAAGCTGCTTCTGAGGCTTCATGTTGGGGTATCTTCTGATCCCCAACACACCTGAGCTGCTGAACCAAAGGCAGTCTGACCCTCTCCCACGACGCCTTCAAATGAACAAGCCAGCAGGCCTTGGGCTACCTGGCTCTGCCCCTACCCACCAGGATTTTGGACGGCTGTCCCTCACCTCTGCGATGTCCGCCCCACCCCGTCCCAGGAACCTCCACCAGTTTTCTGCTCTGTTGAGCTATGCTTGACACAAGGCAGGGAGGCACTGGCTTTGACATTTGGGCCTGTGCCCGCCCTTGCCTGGGCAGGTGGGTGGGGCAGGCGTCCTGAGTGAGCGCCTCCTTACTTAGTGATAGAGGCGGGAGAATGGTGCCCAGGCTAGGGCAGGGCCCTAGCCAAGTGTGCTGAGCGCCGTGTGTGTGCGCACAGAAATCAAGAACGGAAATTTGGGAGCGTCCACCCAGATTCCAGCGGCTCCAGCGGCGGGGAGCAGCATGAGGCCCGTGTCCCCGTGTTCCTGCCTCTCTGCTGGCCCCTGCAAGGGTTGGGGAAGCGGCAGGCAAGGTGCCATGGGGAAAGCGGGCTCTCAGCTGCTGCCAGCAGCCTCCAGGTCTGGGGACTGAAGTGAGGAGGGGCCCAAAGCTGTTCCCACAGCTGCGCCTGTCTCCAGCCCCACACTGCCTCTCCTGCGGTCCGGAGTGGACCCCTGTGCTACCTGAGGGTCAGTGTCCGCCTCCAGAGGGCACCGGGCGGGATCCACGCTGGAAAGGGCTGGGGCGGGCGAAGCCAGGCATGGGGCGGGCCCACGAGTGGGCCGGGAAGGAGCGGGTCCTTCGGGGAGCGGGGCGGGCTCGGCCAATGAGAGCGCAGTGGCAAACGGCGAGTGAGGGAACTCGGCCCCAGAGGGGCGGTGTCTGTCCCAGGTCAGCCCCCGCGAGGGCGGGGCCGGGGCCGGGGCTCTATGCGGAAGGACCGGTGCCCAGGTCACCCAGGAGCGCTCACCCCACCGGCACCCTTGCCCAAGCCCACCCCTGCGAAGACAGGTACCCAAGCACAACCCGGCGAGGGCGGCCCCTGAGCCCCGGACCCCGAACTCCGGCGCAGCGCCGCTCCTCTGCCCAGTGAGGTGCCCCTGACGTGCCTGCTGGGGCTGCCCTGCTCCCCACAGCCTTCCCGAACCCCGGGACCGCTGCTCCCGGGCCCTCAGTGGGTCTCCCCGTCCTGCCCCACCGGCCCAGTGTGCAGTCAGGTGTTAATGCGGCAGATTTGGAGGCGGGGAGGGGAAGGGCGGGACAGACAGCACCCTGCCGTGGGAGGTGAGGCAGAGCTGCCCCGCCTGGGGAGCCTGCAAGGCTGAGCTGTCTCCCCTATGCACTCCAAGACCAATCCAGAGGCCCTTTGGCGCTCTGGCTGCTGGTCACAGGGGAAGGTAGGCCTTCCCTGAGAGCCGTGTTGGGGACAGAGCCACTGTAGGCCTAAGGAGGCCCCCGAGGCACAGGGACCCAAATCAGCCCTCTGGCCACAGAAGGCACCGATGTTTTGAGCTGCACACGGCCACCCCTCCGAGCCTCTGCCTCCCTCTACAAGTGGGGCATGGCGCCTTCCTGTGTCAGACATCTGGGCACTGGGCCGGGCACTGATGGAGCTAGGCACTGAGGCTGGCCCACCTGCAGGGGTGGGTGGAGCAGTGTGTCCCTGCCTCCCCTCCCATGGAAGCTATGTGCCTGGAGACCAGCAGTTGTCCAAAGTGGAGAAGTGGAGGCCACCTGTTGGGTCCTCTAAGGTCCAGGTGGCAGGAGAGCCCCGCTGCGGGGATCCTCTCTTGCAGGCAAGGCCAGGCGGGTGCTGCCTGGGACCCAGTGACTCAGCACCCCCGCCCAGATCAACTGGACTTTTGGCCCCTGCTCCGCCAGCCTCCCGCTCGGATCTCTCCTGGGTCTTACGCCGGTGCCTGCCCAGGATGCAGGGAGCTTGGGCTCCCAGGGACCAGGGCCAGTCCCACAGCAGGATGGGTGCTCTGAACCGGCCCTCGGTCATCCTGCTCACCTATGTGCTGGCCACCATCGAGTTTACTTGCCTCTTCATGCAGTTCTCCATCATGCCAGTGAGTAACATGCCCCAGCCCCTGCAGCCCCAGCCAGGGCTGCCCCGCTGTTCCTCCTACCTTCCATCTGGCCGGTGGCAGAGAGTGGGGGCTTCATGCTCCCATGGCCCCTCCCAGTTGGGACCCCATGCCATGCTTAAGCTAAGTAAGTTAAGGGACCCGGCCTCTGCCTCTGGACCCCCGTCAGCACATCCTGCATTCTGGCTGCAGTCCCAGCCCCCGAGAGAAGCCGTGGGGAGCCACCCCACTTCGCTCCTGGGGGCAGCACCTCCCAGAGCCCTGCTAGCACCTAGCTCCTCCTACCTCTCACCAGCAGCCTTTGCCCTCTGGAGTTCCTGCCCCAAGGGCTGTTCAGTCCTGTCTGGACTCTGGCAGATAATCCCTTGGAGAGGCTCTCTCTGCCCTGCCGCCAGCTTATGTCTGTCCCCTCCATTCTCCTGGGTCCTTGTTGTCCGCTAAGTGGTCTGTGGTGGCAAACTGATCTCAAGCTTTTTCGTGAAGGAGGGAGAATGCAGTCTTTTACTTCATTATCTCTGTTGCCACATGCGGAAACATTTCATCGGCAAATTCATGTTAGTTTGATGTATCATTCAGCGGCCTGAAGCACGGTATGTGGCTCTGAAGCTGTGATCGCAATGATTAAGTCATCTTCGCCAAGTCTGGAGAGGCTTGGGAACAAAGTCTCACATCGCCAAGAAGCGCAAGGCCCAACCTAGGGCCTTCCGATGTTTGCTTCTGGGAAGCCTGGCCGTCCTCTGAGCCCTCAGAGCCTGGACCTGGGCATCTGGGTGGGAGTGGGGATGCACCTTGGCACCATTCCGGGCCTGGCAGAGGCTTCCAGCCCAATGGTGAGCATAAGGATCCCTCTCTGTCGTGCCTCAGAGCCCAGCCCACGCCCACTAAATGGTCTGGGTCAGGCCCTGAATCTCCTTAGCAGTGGGGAAGCCTGGGCGGGAGCCTGGTTTTCTCATCATAAAACGCGTCATAGCAGTCCGTACCTGTGGGGTGGTGTGGGCAAGAGTGAGAAGTCACAGCCCTTCTACCAGCCGGGCACAGAGCACAGGTGGAGGGCTTCGGCCGGGCACCCACGCTCACGGGGAGGGACATGTATTCATTCAGTAACTCGCGCTGGGTGCCCAGGAGCTGACCCTAGTGTCAGAGCCTGCAATACTACAGAGCATCAAGTCCCAGAAACCCACACCCTGGTGCTGAGCAAGATGACCGTCAACAGCAAACACAGGGACTGCAGTGGGAAGGGGGTGGGGTCGTCCCCGTGGAGCAGGCAACCTTGGAGCAGGGCTTGAAGGAAGCAGGAGAGGCCCGGGGCAGTGGAGCAGCCAGAGTGGCTGGAGTGGACAGGCTGAGGCCAGAATGGGACCACACTCCACCTTCTGCTCAAAGGACTCGGCTGGGGATGGCTGCGGGGAGTTGAGAGGTGGCTGGAGTTGGCCTGTGTTGTCGAGGGATTGCAGGGGGTGTGAGAGGAAGCAGGCTCGGGAGCCCTGAAGATTTGGGCTTGAGCCCGCAGGAAGGAGACGTGGACAGGAGGAGAGGCAGTCTTTGGGGAAAGACGGGGGCCCAGCTGGGGACGGGTTGAGTCTGAGACGATTTTAGTGGAGAGCCGAAGGGAACTGACACAAGGCAGTTCAGCACAGAGGCTCCGGGACCCTGCAGCATGGAGGTGGTCGTGGGTGGGCCCCCCGGAGGGCAGGGAGGCTGAGGTCGGATGAGCCGAGGGAAATGGCAGTGGTGGCCGAGGTGGGGCAGGGGACCCAGCACAACTTAGAGCAGCAGGCCATCGTGGGGGAGGGAGGAAGCCACTGAGACAGTTGCCACTCCAGTGGGAGGCGTGCCAAAGCAGGCCACGAGGCAGCAGCGTGGGTCAGCGGGGACTTCGGGGAGGGGGCGGCAGCGGGAGGCAGCGGGAGGCAGCGGGAGGCAGCGGGAGGCAGGGGCCTGCTCCCAGGATGGGAGAGGAGAGATGGAATGAGAGGGGCCTTCAGGGCAGCAGGTGCTCAGAGCTCTGCCAGGGAGTATGTGGGAGTCGCCGTAGGGAAGGCCGAGGAAAGGCAGGAGAAGTAGCAGGGGGTGTGATTGCTCCAGGGGGCAACCCCTCCCAGAAGGGGACTGTGCAGAGAAACCGGGAAAGAGGAGCGCTGGGAGGAAAAGGCGGCATGTGACGCGGGCAGGATGACGTGGAAGGCCGGGACACGTGGGCATGGGATGAGGAGCATCCTCACAGGAGCAGCGCGGGGGAGGCGAGGGATGGGGGAGGAGGCAGAGGGTTACTGGGGGAACGTGGGAGGATTGTCAGGTGAAGCTCACACACAGAAGCGACCTGGTAGATGGGGGGCTTCCCCCGGGTTGTCGAGGGAGCAGGGTGGAGCTGAAGGAAGGAGTCAGGTTGGGGGAGGGAGGGGTTGCTGACTGCTCTTGGGACTGAAACGCACTAGAGAGAATCTGTGTGGACCAAGGGAGACAGAGGAAAGAAGGGGAACGGGACCCCAATACTGAGCTTAGGGAAAGGTCCAGGGTATGAGGGGGGCAGTGTACTAGCATCTGGGGCTGCTGTAACAAATTATCCAAAGCTGGGGGACTTGGAGCCACAGAAGCTTGTCTCACAGTTCAGGGGGCCAGAAGTCTGAGGTCAAAGCTCCCTCTGAAACCCACAGGGGAGGGTTCCTCCCACCTCTTCCTGCCCCTGGGAGCCCAGACATCCCTTGGCTTGTGGCCTCATCACCTCGTCTTCCCATGGGTTTTCACAATGTCATCTCTCAGAGTGTGGCTGTGTCCCCAATTCCCCTTCCACTGAGGACACCGATCACATTAGATCAGGGCCCTCCCTCATGTCTTTGCTGTAACCTGTTAACTCTGGAAGACTCCATTTCCTTAGAGAGCCGCATTCTGAGGTTCTGGGGGTTAAGACATATGAATTTGGGAGTGCACAATTAACCCATAGTGCCATCACTGGAAGGAGGGTCAGGCACTCAGAGGTAGGGGCAGTGGGGAAGACGGCCGCGGGAGCACCGGAGTCACAGAGAATGGCGGCAGTGATAGGAGGGGTGTCTCTGGGAGGGACGCTGTCACGGGCCTACACCTCCCGAGGGGCCGAGGGCTGGGGCCTCGCAGAGCAGACTGGGCATTGGGCCACCTGCTGGAGGTCACTCAGGGGCTTTGGGACAATCTGTTGCTGGCCAGGACAGTGCTGCTGGCTTCCCTACAAAGTTTCGAATGAATGAAGACAAAATGGTGGGGGTCAGGTGCCTCTCTGAGGTGAGGGGAAGGACCCTAGAGGCCACCGCAGGCTCCCACCTAGAAGAGGAGAAGTAGGGTCCCTCGGGTAAGGGCCCCTCGACGTTCACACTGTGTAGTCAGCAGAGCCCGGGCCCTCAGCTCCCTCCCCCGACTGCCCATCCGGGGAGCCCAGACTCCAGGTCCTGCAGTCTTTCCCAGCTCCTCCCCGTAGGCTCCCACCTGTGTTTCAGTACCTGTCTCGGAATCTGGGCCTGGATTCCATTGCCTTCGGCTACCTGCAGACTATCTTCGGGGTGCTGCAGCTGCTGTGTGGGCCGGTGTTTGGCAGGTACAGTGTGTGTGTGCAGGGGGCTCTCCCCACAGTGACCCGGGTCCTCTCAGACGCCATGGTCGGGACCAGCCAGGCTCCCCGACCCCACACCAGACCCCACTGGGATAATGGCACTCCTGTCGCAGCCCGATGGGAGAGCAGAAGAGCTTTGGCCCCTGGTAGGTTCCCTGGGTGTCCCACCCCACGCTTTCCACCAATCCTGGCCATAGCCAGAGAGAGTGTGTGATTGGTGAACACATCATGGCTGTAAGCAAACAACCCATAGGCCTGCCAGGGCCAGGCAGGAGGGACTCCGGGGGCCCCATACACCCCGGGTCTCAGTGCTGTGGGAACGCTAAGCTCTAGACAGGACAGGGACATCCTCCCACAAGCCACATCAGACAGAGCAGCAAGGGACAGAGCAACCCCTGAGGCAGAAATGAAGCGGCTCCTTAGGCAGCAGACCAGCAGCGGCTCCGGGACGGCTTCCGCTGGCCCGGAGCAGGAGGGAGAAAGGGGCCGGGAAACACTGTAAAACGCAGGTCCATCCCCTGGTCACCTGGGATTCTGACTTTTCTTTTCTTTTCTTTTTCTTTCTTTTCTTTTCTGAGACGGAGTTTCACTCTTGTCACCCAGCTGGAGTGCAGTGGTGTAGTGGTGCAGTGGTGTGATCTCAGCTCACTGCAACCTCCGCCTCCTGGGTTCGAGTGACTCTCCTGACTCAGCCTCCCAAGTAGCTGGGATTACAGGCACCCGCCACCATGCCTGGCTAATTTTTGCATAGACAGGGTTTCACCATGTTGGCCAGGCTGGTCTCGAACTGCTGACCTCAGGTGATCCACCCACCTGGGCCTCCCAAAGTGCTGGGATTACAGGCGTGAGCCACAGCGCCCAGCCAGGATTCCATCATTTATTTTTACACGGAGTTGGTCTTTCCCGTGGGTCAGTCTCCCAGCTCAGTGAAGCTGTCTGCACACAGCCCCACTGGGATGCTGGGGAAACTGAGGCCCTGAGAGGAGGGAGGCCTCCCAGCAGCCACCTAGGTGCTTAGGCCATTCATCCCCATCCGTGCTCCAGCCTCCCTGGTCAGCCCCTGGCTGAGGGGAAGAGGGACCCTGACTGCCTCCATGAGGGTCTGATCCGCCCTTCGGCCCCCAGATTCGCAGACCAGCACGGGGCACGGGCGGCGCTCACCCTCTCCTTCCTGTCAGCCTTGACGCTCTACCTGCTCCTGGTGGCCGCCTCCAGCCCAGCCCTGCCTGGGGTCTACCTGCTCTTCGCCTCCCGCCTGCCCGGAGCACTCATGCACACGATGCCAGGTAGGCCCAGGGGCCAGGTGGGGCCGGGACGGGGGCAACCTGGGTGGACCGGGCCACTGCTAGGGAGGTCAGCGTGCGGGTGGGGCCTGGCCCTAAGGGCTGGACAGGGGTGCAGGGGCTACATGGGCGTGGCTTGTAGAGGGGCTGGTGGGGGTGGAAGGGGTTGAGGGAGGTGGGTCGTGGTGAGGCGCCCAGTGAGGGGCTTTCACAACTCAGCCCCCATCCCCTCCCCAGTCGCCCAGATGGTCATCACCGACCTGTTGGCACCTGAGGAACGGCCCAAGGCCCTGGGCCGGCTCGGCCTCTGCTTCGGCGTCGGCGTCATCCTCGGCTCCCTGCTGGGTGGGACCCTGATCTCTGCGTATGGGTAAGTGGAGGGGCCGCGGTGCAGGCTCCGGGTTCAGGACGCCCTCGGCCCCCTCTCAACCTCGGTTTCCCCTTTTGCTCCTCTGGCAGGCTGGGCTGGGAACCAGGGGCGCAGGTGGCCACGTGGCGTGGCTGCAGGGACACCCTGGCCCCGTGCAAGGCCTAAGCCTGACCTCCCGGGCTGGCCCTCGATGGGTCTGTGTGATGTCCTATGCTGTCCAGGGTGCCACTGAAGCTGTCCATGCACAGCCTCACTGTGATGCTGGGGAAACTGAGGCCCTGAGGGGAGGGAAGCCTCCCAGCAGCCTCCTGCTGGGGACTGGGATGCTATGGCAGCCGGGCTGAGCTGTTGGACGGTAGCCAGAGCCGATGGTGGTCAGGAGGCCGGGGGGATCATGGGCATGGGGGGCAGCGGGCTTCCCACTCACCTCCTGACAGTCCCTTGCCAGCTGTCTCTGGAGGCTGCAAGGGTGGCTGCGCTCAAGAGGGTGCCCCAGAGAGGGGGGCTGCAACTGGACTCTGGCAGGAGGATCCATGGATCTGCTGTCCCCTGCTGTCAGCTCTTCCTGACTCAGTTTCCTCAGCTCTGAAATGTAAATCCTGATAGGAGGGGCATGGTCCTGGGAGGGTAGATGAAGTCACAGCTGTGCCCCTCCCCCCAGCTTTGTATTCTACACCCAGGGTCTTCCCAGGCCCTGACCCCCACCCTCTGCTGGCCTGTGAGTTTCTCTGAGGCTCCATCTGGCGTGGAGCCTTCCTGGCATCTGAAACCCCCACACACTGGGGGTGCCCCTTGGCATGAGGCCAGCACTTATGTGAACACCAGGCTCTCCAGCCCTGGGTGAGCTGATGGCAGTTCCCAGGCCAGGCACCACCTAGGGGCTGCAGCCTGGGCTCCCCAGGACCTCGAGGCAAAACCCAGCAATGGTGGAGGCAGCTGAGTGCTGGCGCAGCCCCGGCGCCGGGAGGGCACAGTGGCCTTGTTAGCACACCTCCTTCTCTGGAGGTCTCTAGGCTGTGCTGGGGGCCTTGCTTGAGGTCCTGAGCGTTCTTCCAGCATTTTCACTGGAGGCTGGGCTTTGGACTGATGGCTGCTGCTGGCTGTGAGCGGGAGGGTGGGGTGGGGTGAGCAGTTTGTCTGCTCACGGATGTTTTCTGAACACCTAATTGGTGCCCCCAGGACTCTGTTCTAGAATACGATGGCAAACAGCACAGGCTGAGTCCCTGGGCTGAAGTGAGTGTGATACGAATTACCGTAACATCAGCTGAGCTACATGGAACAGAAAGTCACAAGGCAGAACTGGGGGTTTAATGGACGGGGTCACTAGGGACTGTCTGAGCAGGTGCCGTCTGAGTCGAGGCCTGAAGCGGGTGGGAGAGGCAAAGAAGCCACGGGACAGAGACCTGGCTGTGGAAGCCAGGAGGCCATGTGGCTGGAGGGAGGCAGGAGGGGCAGGCGCCAGGCTGGGGCACCCTGGATGGTGCAGCAGGGGTGAGATGGGGGGGTGGACACCCCTGCAGGGAGACCGGTAGGGCAGCCACTGTGCCGGCCAAGGTGGGGGAGGATGGTGGCCAGACCGGAGGTGATCGTGGTGGGAGAGGGCAGAGGGCCGACTCTGGCTTGGCTTTGCCAATGGGCAGGATGTGGGGGTGAACTCAAGATGGCAATGCCAAGGCTGTGCCTACCCCTGGGGCTGGTCCCGGGGAGCCTGGCAGCCTTGCACAGAGGCCAGAGCAGCCTGGGGCACCACTGGGATTTGGGTCTTGTTCAGGCCCTGACTGGGTGCTTGCTGGGCGCTCAAGGGAGCTGCTGAGTAGGCATCCAGATAAGGGAGAGAAATGGGGCGCGTCTTCAGGTGTGGAAGGCCCAGAGCTACGCACTGAGCACTCATGTTTTGGTGCTGGAAGGGTGAGGAGGGAGTACGTTCTGCGAGTCAAGGGCTGAGGGGTCCGTGGGGGGCAGGGACCCTGGTCTCTACTGCTGGTGGCCCAGGAAGGCACAGTGGCCCAGTGGCCCCAGCAGGGCAGCCATCCCCAGGTGCCGGTGCCAGCTGCAGGAGGCTTGCGCAATAAACAGGTCCAGGGAAACAAGGAGACAGGAGAAGGGTCGGGGAGTTGAGCTAGAAACGGGGCAGAAGAGGGTCTGGGGGGGCTTTGCTCAGGGTGGGAGGAGCCCTGAGGAGGCGCCCCAGGGAAAGGGAAAGGCTGATATGGGAGCTGAGCATATGGCTGGTGGGGCGTCCCTGGAAGATGGGGCCCAGGGCACCTGTGTGGGCAGCAGTGGCAGGACGGCAGGGGCGGCTCCCCCTGAGGCCAGGAGGGTGGCAGTTGTAAGGCATGGGGAGCCCAAACCGCCCAGGGCCTGTCTTTCAAGGGTGGCTGGGGTGAGGGGGGCGTGAGGAGGGCACAGGGAGGAGTGCTCAGAACAGCCTGGGGAGCAGCGGCCGGCCGAGCTGGACAGGCCTCCTGCTGGCCTCGTGAGTCACTCCAGTCCCAGAGCCCATTTGGGGAAGGAGGAGCCGGACAGCCGCTCTCCCCTGGTGCTGCCCACCCCGGGGACTCTGCCGGCTTGGGGCCCAGCCACCTGTTGCTGTCTTCCCGTCCTCACCTAGGAAATGGGCCCTCCCCCGCCCTCACTCTCCCACAGGGATGCTTGGAGGGTCCCAGCTGGTCCTCGCAGCGAGCCGGGGCCAGCACGCTGGAGCAGTCAGCACGCACGCCTCCCAGCCTGCGGGTCCCTCCTGTCTCTCCTGCCCTTTCCCCATCCCGACTGCTGACCGAGAACACCACTCACATCCCTCTCCCTCCCTCCAGCCGCCAAGACAGCCTCTCCCCTACCCACACCTGCCAGCGCATTCCATTCGCTTCCCTGCCTCATTCATCCCAGGATCTGAGGCACTTGATAACCTCAACCTTTCGTCACCAGGCCAGCTGGGACAGTTCCTTTGATGGGGGGGGGGGAAACTGAGGCCCGGGAGATGGTGAGACTGCCTCCAAAGAGCTCCCAGTGCCTGTCCAAGGCTCAGGCGGTGTGGGACTCCCTCAGGATCCCCCACACCACACCCACCACACGGGGCACTGCATGGGCGCTGTGGGAAGGCTGGCTGCCCAGAGTGATGGGAGGGCTGTGGGGGGTGACCTCGTGGCTGGAACTCTGCCAACCGAGATGGGGAAAGGGAGGCCCACACCTCCTCTTCAGGGGCTCACCAAAGGCAGTGAGGCCAGTGCCAGCCAGACTGCAAGGCCTGGTGCCCCATGGCAAGGGCCAGCCCCCTGGCCTCCTCAGTCTGGCAGCCCCCAGCCAGCTCTGGCTCCTGGCCTAGCCAGGGGCAGGAGCCTGGTGCAGCTGTGAACGCCCCCTCCTCACAGCCTTCCTGCCCTTCCTTGATGGAAACCAAGGCACGGCATACATGGGTCTTCCTCCCTGCACACCCACCTGTGTATGCCATTCCCCTGAAAGGCCCCAGTCCTGTCTCGTCCGCACCCACCTGGGCAGCAGGTGGGAGGAGGAAGTGGACTTGGCACCCACAGGCTGTGGGGGCGGGCACTTGTATAACTGGTTTGGGCCCAGCCTCTGGAGCCCAAGGCTGAGAGACCAGGCTAGCCTGGGGAGGGACCCGAGACCTGAGTCACTGCGCACACGCTGGGCGGGGGGTGGCTCTGTGACTCATGTTCTGAGCCCAGACCCTCACAGCCGGGGGAGGGATGGCGAGAGCCATCGAGTCCTCCCTGCGTCAGACAGCGGGGAGCCCTGCAGGGTTTGCCTTCTCCGGGTGGACAGGCGGCCACCAGGGCAATGCCCATGCCATGGGGGTGCCAGTACCCAGCCAAGAAGAAACGAGGAGCCAGGGGCGCCGGAGGTCAGAGAGGCAGGAAGAGGTGGGAAGGGAGGGGAGCAGCAGCCCACATGACCCAGGGCACCCCAAGCGCTGAGCAGAAGCTGAGGGGTGCAGGGGTGTCTGTAACAGGGCACCTGCTATGCAGGAGAGGCAGGGGCTGCAGGCAGTGGAGGGGGCAGCAGGATGTGGGGGACCCGGGCCCGCCCCCACCCCAGCTGGGTGGAGCTAGGGCTGTGGCGGGACACAGCAGAGCCAGAGAGGCAGGCGCCCCCAGAGCCAGAGAGGCAGGCGTCCCCAGAGCCAGAGAGGCGCTCAGCGGCTGCTTGTCCGAGTGCTTCCCAGGGCCCAGGACACTCTGGCTCTTTCTGTTCTTTCCCCGGCAGGGAGGGAGCAGGCCCTGCTGAGATGGTCCCGGCCCTGCCGTCCCTCAGAACGGCCTAGGGAGCAGTGGCCGGCTGAGCTGGACAGGCCTCCTGCTGGCCTCCTGAGTCACTCCAGTCCCAGAGCCCATTTGGGGAAGGAGGAGCTTGTGGCTTGGCTGGAGGGCTGTGTGTTTGGGGAGTGGGGGGACCAGGTACTGGGAGACACAAAGACTGGGAGGGGTCAGGCCAGAGGGGCCTCCACTTTCTGGGGCACCCTGGAAGCCAGAAGGCAGCTGAGCTCGGCGTGTCCCTGCAAGATTCTTGTGTTCAGACGTGGTTCTAACTACGGCGTCGTGGGGCAGGCAGGGGTGACTTCTCCCAGCCCCAGGCTGGACATCAGGGCTGTTCTGGGCACCCCCTGCCCCATCCTCTTGTGACCTAGGGGTCCCATGAAGCTAGGTCCCAGATGACCCAGCCTCAGCCCCTCCTGTGGGTTCACTCCCGACAGATGACCTGGGCACCTGCTGTCACCTCTCGGAGCCTCAGAGCAATGTGAGGCTAGATGAGGCTTGTCACTGGAGACTGTGCAGGAGCTAGACCGGCAGAGGTTCCTGGAGACGTGGCTGAAAGGCAGCTCCACTCCCTGCTGTCTGGGCAGCCTCAGGTGTGGGCTGTGGTCGGTGGGCAGCATGCAGGCCGGCTGGGTCTGGCAGGTCCAGAGGGGCCCCAGGATGGGGTGAGCGGCAGGGCAGCTGCCAGCCCAGCTCTCATTTGCATAAGAGGAAATGAGGTCGCCCAGCAGGTGAGCTGAGGAGGAGGGGACAAAGACCAATTAAGCTGTCCGGCCTTCCTGATCGTGGCTCCATTGATAAAAGTGTTGGATGCGCCCCTGGAAGCCAGCGTGCCCCTTCGTCTGGGCAGGTCAGGGTGAGGTTGGGTGTGCTCAGCAGAAGGGGCTGACTGCACTGTGCGAATGGAACCTTGATTCAATGGTCCAGGGGATGGCCAGGCTGTGGGGGCGCGGGAGGCGTGCAGAGGCCCCGGGGCTGAGGCCGGCATGCCGGATGTCCTTCCCACTCCTGGCAGTTCGTGTGGGGGGAGCGGGAGAGAGCTCTGACTGGGGAAGGACAGCCCAAGTCTCCCCCAGCAGCCATCCGTGGCCACGGGCACAGTTGCGGGCCCTGACTCTCTCCTGGGGCCCTCCAGGGCTCCCCAGCCCCAGCCTCTCCTGTTGCCCACAGCAGCACTGGCCTTGGGCTCTCCCGCCACCACTCGAGGGCCTGGCTCCCTGCCACCACGCCTTGCTTGTCACCAGCCTCCCAAAATAGCCATTGAAGTGTCGCCTCTGCTCCTGTGCACTTCTGGGGCATCTGGCAAAGAAGGCAGGTTTTGCCCCTGCCCAGCCAGACCCTGAGCTGTGACGTGCAGGCCTCTGAGGCCAGGGTCCCAAAGAGGGCCCTTTTCCCTGGTGCTGGCCACAGGAGCCAGGCATCCCTCCCACACCACACATCCGTGCCTGCTGGCTGCAGGGGCAAGCTGTGGGGCCGGAGCCCAGCCCTGTCCTTTCCCTAGCATTTTCCCAAAGGAAGGGCCCAGTGGTGTGGAAATCCAGCAGCCGGAAAGCCCAAGTATCTGGCGCCCCAGAGCCATGGGTGCTGGGCAGGTGGGGGAGAGTCAGAGCTGCCTTGATGGATTGGTGGGGCAGCAGCACAGGTGGGGTGGATGTGTGCTGGCACCCCCACCCCCACCCATGTGAGCTCAGGGGTCCCACCTGAGAAATGCCCAGACTCTGTACCCAGAGGTGGCCCACTGGCTGTCCTAGTCAGCGCGGCACCACGTCCCTTCCTTGCTCTGGCAGATGGGTAGATGTAAGTGCACGTATACAAGTTTACACGTGTGTGTGCGTGCATGTGTGCGTGTGTGTGTGCGTGTGCATGTGTGTGTGTGCGTGTGCATGTGTGCATGTGTGTGCGTGCATGTGCATGTGTGCGTGTGTGTGTGCGTCAGCGTGTGCGTGTGTGTGTGCGCGTGTGCGTGCATGTGGGTGCGTGCACATGCGTGTGTGCATGTGCATGTGTGCATATGTGTGTGCGTGTGTGTCAGCGTGCGTGTGCATGTGTGTGCGTGGCTGTGTGTGTGCGTGTTCGCACGTGTCTGTGCGTGCATGTGCGTGCATGTGCATGTGTGTGTGCGCATGTGTGCGTGCACGAGTGTGCACAGTGTGTGCATGTGCACACGTGTGTGTGTGTGTGTGTGTGTGTGTGCGCAATGTGGCTGTGGTGAGGAGGGGCGGAGAAAAGGTCTTTCTTTGAACTCAGTGGGAACATACTGGTCTGTGGCTGGCTGTGTTTTCGGGTGCAAGGGCACCTTCCAGGACCCTGACTACTCATGTCTTCACCCTGAGGCCCTGACCAGGGTGGACTTGGGGGCTCCGCTGAGGTCGGGGCAGGACCTGTGCTGCCTGCGTGAACGGCTCACACGTTTGCCGCATCATCTGGTGATCACCTCGGTCTCAGTGCAGGGTCCAACCTCGCCCACCTGCCTCAGGGACCAGAGTCTAGCAGCTGGTAAATTGAGTCTTCCTCAGATGGCATGCTGTATGGGAAGGAGGGCTGGGGCCTCACCAAGAAGGGCCCTTGCAGGCTGTTTAGGAGTTTGCTCAGCTGCTGCGAGGGAAGCTGTGGTGGTCAGGCCTGGAGGCTACAGCCAGGCTCAGTGGGAAGCCCCCAGTGTCCTCCTGCCTCTCCCCGATGGGAGGCGGCTGGCTCAGCTCCCGGGAGGCAATGGTGACAGAACAGACGGCTCCAGGCACCTGTGTTTCCAGGTAACAAGGCCTGCTGGTTCCTTCTAGGGGAATCCCAGGCCGAGTTTCTAGGTGGGGACTCATGGCAGGGAAGCTGATGGGAGAACCAAAGTCACAGGCCTCTGTGGTGGCCCGGCAGGTGGGAAGGTGGCAGAGCAGCCTGAGGGGCAGATCCGGGGCTTTGTGAGTCTCTGGAACAAATCCCGGCCCGAAGCCCTCTTCAAGCCCAGCATGCCGCACCCACTCTAGAAAGTGGGGAGGGGTCCTGCCAGGAGGGGAGGCAGTTTCTGAGGGCCCGCTAAGTGCCAGGCCTGCCCTTGCCCCCGCTGGGGAGGCAGCGTGACCATCCCCATAACACAGCACGGGTGTCCAAGTCTCAGAGAGCCCCTCCCAGGGACACGCACGCCAGGCTTGCCCTTTGGAGCCTCTCCTGACATTGGCCAGTGTGGGAGCTGCTGTTCCTGGGAGGATGCGCCGCCTACGCCAGGTGCCCAGCAGCCTGGCTGCCACACTTGGCACCCACAGGGGCTGCCAGGGCCTGGGTGCCATGGCGAGGGCCAGGGATGGTGACTGCTTCACTGGTTCCTTCATCCACCACTGAGTAAATGTCCTCTGAGGCCCCGGTCCCCAGTCTTTAAGTTACAGACTGTGGGGACGTGAGAGGTCAGGCTTGAGCTGCTGTCAGCCGCTGGAGCCATAGTGTGGCTGAAGGTGCAAGTCGGGGGAGGAGGCGGGCGCCTGGGTCCTGGGACCCTCGCCCTTTGCAGCCAATGCTGTTGCCCGCAGGATTCAGTGCCCGGCCATCCTGGCTGCCCTGGCCACCCTCCTGGGAGCTGTCCTCAGCTTCACCTGCATCCCCGCCAGCACCAAAGGGGCCAGAACAGACGCCCAGGCTCCACCACCAGGTAAGCCCTGCCAGGTATGCCCTGCCCGGATGCTGGGGCAATGGGAGGCATTGGCTAGGCCTGTGTGCTCCAGCCAAGGGGCACGGGGCGGGGGGGGAATCTGGGGGCTGCTCGCACCCTCCTGCCTTCCTTGAACCCCTCCCAGCTACCGACTTCATAGGAGCCAAGTGAGGTGCGGTCGTGAAAAGGTGGAAGTGAGGGTCAGACAGGCGGGGAGATCCAGATGCGGAGGCGCTAGGAGGGGAGGCCCAGAGAGGGCTGGAGAGGACCAGGAGGGACCCCAACAGGATGGGTGGGCCAGCAAGGCTCCCGAGGCTCCAGATGTCCAGGGAGATGTGAGGGTGCTCCGTGAGGCGCACTGATTGGTGGAGGGCAGAGGATGGTCGCGTGGGTCCCAGGAGGAGAGGCCAGGGCTCCCCAGAGGAAATCCCCTCAAGGGTGGCCGCCTGCCGAGCCTGGCCCCTGCACATGGGGCACATGGCAGGGCCCGTGCCTCTGTGCCTAGGGACTAACAACCCAGCCTGGGATGGAGGAACCCACCTGGGGCCATCCTGGGACAGAGGGCTGTGATGGAATTAACCCAGAAGGTCCAGAGGAAGGACTGGGTGGAGCTAGGGCTGTGGCGAGACATAGCAGAGCCAGAGAGTCAGGAGCCCCCAGGGCCAGAGAGGCAGGATCCCCCAGGGCAATGGGCAAGGGGAATTCATAATCCCGGTGGGGGACCCGCAGCACCACGCTCAGAGGTGTCCAGTGGACCAGGGCATGGTGGTGACTTGTGAGCACAGAGCAGCATGGCATTGCCATTGTCCTCCTCTGGGCTGCTGGCCAGGTCACGCTCTGCCCCAGGCCCCAGGCCAGGACCTTACAGGAAGCAGCTGCTAGTCCCTTGTTCAGGGGCTGCTGTGCACAGAGGATGTTTTTCCTGAGTGCTTCGGGGGATTTGGGAGGCCCTAGGCACACGTGGAAGTGTGCTGAGTGGTGGTGCCCACCTCAGGGCTGGGAGCATCACAGCTCTCACACCCACGAGCGAGCAGCACTGAAGCCAGGAGAGAAAGATGCACCCCGGCAGGCAGAACAGGGGCCTGGGAGCAGTGGGGCCTGCAGCCGGGCAAGGGGCGGGCATTGGGACGATGGCCTCCGTGGGCCTAACTGGCCTCTCACTGCCAGGCAGCCCCCGGGCCAGCGTGTTTGACCTGAAGGCCATTGGCAGCCTACTGCGGCTGCCAGACGTCCCAAGGATCTTCCTGGTGAAGGTGGCCTCCACCTTCCCCTCGGGTGAGTCTCAACTGCCGCCGGCCACGGCCAGAGCCCGGTGGAGCTCCAGCTGCGGCCAGGGCCCAGCTCTTCCTCTGACCTGTGCCCTGCAGGTCCACGCAGAGGCAGTGCACAGGCAGGGGCAGGAGGAAGGCAGGAAAGGGTCTTTCCCACCCCCCTGCAGCCCCTCCACACCGTGAACCTGCAGATCCCAGGGCAGAGGACCTGGCTCTCCGCCTGTGGGGACCTGCCCTGGGATCCACAGGGCGCTCCTCAGCTCTCACCCTCATACCCTGTGGCCCCACGTCCTCTCGGGACAGCCTGAGATGCAGGGAAGCAGGTCTGAGTGTCAGCACTGCCTTCTGAAGCACGCCAGCCCAGGGCCCTCGCAGCAGACCCTACGGTGTCATGGACCAGATAGAACAGCGAGCCGTGGACAAGCCCACGCGCAGCCCCGTCTCTGGGATGCCGGGAAGCAGGGTGGAGAACGGCCCTCAACACTCTGACCGCCCCAGCCTCTGTCCCACCCAGCCGCCTGGGCAGCCTCTTTTGATTCTCAAAACTAGAGCCCAAGTCACTAACCTCAGGAACAGGAGCCTTTTTTTTTGAGGCCATTGCACAGGCTAGAGTACAGTGGCATGATCTCAGCTCAGTGCAGCCTCCGCCTCCCAGGTTCAAGCTAGCCTCCTGTCTCAGCCTCCTGAGCAGCTGGGACTACAGGCGTATACCACCACCCCCAGTTAATTTAAATTTTTGTAGAAACAGGGTCTCACTATGTTTTCCAGGCTGGTCTCAAACTCCTGGCCTTAACCAGTCCTCCCTCCTCAGCCTCCCAAAGTGCTGGGGCTGCAGGCGTGACTTTGTGGGCTTTTATAACAGAGGCCCAGGGTGGGTCTTGGGGCCAAATCCTCCCACGTGGTTAGCCCTGGGTCTCCCCATTCCAGAGCCTTCCTGCTCATAGTCCAGAGCTTAGCAACCCCTTGGCAGCGACCTTCCATGCCAGGGATCTGGCAGAATTCCAGGGAAGGGTCTCACTGGCCTGGCTGGCACCACAGGCCCCTCCCTGAACCAGGCACCGGCCAGGGCCCAGACCCCCTGATTGGTCAGGCAAAGGCTGGGGTGCGGTGGTGCTCACCCCTGCTCCTCTGCCCCGGCTCAGGGCTCTTCATGATCATGTTCTCCATCATCTCCATGGACTTCTTCCAGCTGGAGGCTGCCCAGGCTGGCTACCTCATGTCCTTCTTCGGGCTCCTCCAGATGGTGAGTGGCACACAGGGCCTGCTGGGGGCACGGCGGGGGTCTCCAGTTGGTCGGGCCTCTGAGAGTGGACGCTTCTCCTGGTGGAGGCTGGGGAGTTCTCGACCTCCCATCCGGCACATGTCAGGGTCCACAGGGAACCAGGCCAGGGAGGGAGAGCCAGCTGCAGAGATGAGCGCACGGTGAGGACAGTGGACTCTGGCCCCTGATGCAGCCGGCTGGGGTCTGTAGCAGCCCACCTGTCCACCAGCCATGTGACTAGAGCAAGTTTCCCAAATGCTCCCAATCCACCCCATGAGGCCAAAGGGCCACCTTGCAGGGTCCTTGGCAGATGAGGTGACCTGACATGGCAAAGCACTTAGACCAGTGCCAGCCCCTGCGGAGGTTCCACAGGAGCACGATGCCAGCGCTCAGAGGCCAGGCTGTCATTGTAGGTTGCCCTGAAACCCTGGCAGCTCTGACGCAGCAGGGGTCCTGTCTGCCAGCCCCCTAGAACAGCTCAGCTCCTGGGCCAGGGCGAGCCCCCTCCACCGCCAGCTCCTCTGGGCATCTGGACCAGACCCTGGGGTGGTGGGGACAGGTGATGGTGTGCGGCCACCCAGCATGGCTGCCTGACAGCCAGAGTGAGGGAGGGGCTATTCTGGGACCTGCCAGGGTGGGGGCAGGGCTCTCGGCCTCTCTGGAAGCCTGTGGCATTCCTGGCACCTCCAAGCCATCAGCTCTTCAGCCTCTGGGCCCAGGACTAGACTAGTACTAAAATAGCCTGTCCTGGAGAGGCTGAGCCCCACCGTGGGCAGCGAGGGCTTCTGCTCTGAGGGCCGGCGGGAGGCTGCGCCTTGGGGCCCCATCCAAACAGGCCGTGCCCAGCTCACCGCAGGCAAGACCCTCCTCAGACCCTGGCTGAAGCCTGCAGCCAGGATGGACATGGCAGCCCCTGGCCTGTGTCGGGGGCACTTGGGCCTGGCGTGGCTGCAGTGGGGACCCTGCCTGAGACAGACAGAGCTGGGTGGTGACCGACACCCTGGAGACGCCCTCGCAGGAACTGGGCTGGTGAACTGCCCAGGGCCGGGGAAGGAGCAGGGTGAGGCCTGGGGACCCCGACAGGCGGAGCAGCGGGACAGGAGGCTGAGGAGGGGAGGAGGGGCCCGCAGAGTAGCCCAGCCCCAAGTCCGGCCAGGGACAGGCTGCTCAGCTCCAGGTTCAGGTCAAAGCCTGCAAGGCTCCTAAGTTTAAGCTTTTGTTGACTTAATGGGTAAATGGAGACACAACACACCTAGGCGTCTAGCGCTGTGAGCTCCTCTTAGGTGCATTGTACAGAGTGAAATTTGCCAGCTCCTCCTTTAAAAAACTTTTAAAATCCCAAAACACCCTGAGATAAAGCAAGGGTGAAGGTCAGATCTTTACACCGTTAGTGGTTCGGGTGGGAAGCAGCTTCTGCTCTGCCTGGCAGGACGTGGGGAGAGTGGCTGGCTCCCTCCACAGGTTCTGCAGGCTGGGCCTGCCCTGTGGGTGGATACTGAGCCCAGGGACCCTCCAGCAGGGCCACCCCTGCATTCCAGGCACGTTGGCCCAGCGCTCCCTGCTCGGTGGAGGAGCTGAGATGGCCAGATAGGGAGCCTTGCCCTGGCCTGGGAGCTGCCCACGGCCAAGCCTGGCCCACTGAGTCCATCCCTGGGAGCAGACTGCAGCTGAGCCTGTCCCATCAGGTCCATCCCTGGTGTCCCTGGTGTCCCTGGTGTGGGCCTTTCTTTTCTCCCTTGTGGAGAGGAGCCCTGTCTCCTCAGGGACCTTGGAGCCGTCCTGACACAGTGACTGCCGGCGGGGTGGGGAGAGACCCCAGGGGCTCGCAGATGCTAAGAGGCCTTCTCTGGAGAGGGACAGCATAGGCCATTCTGGAGGTCCCCTGCTGTTGGGGCTGCCCACGGTCCAGATGCCCCTCCCTCGCCTCCCCCATCCCCACTAATACCCTCTCTGCCTGGTCTAGGTGACCCAGGGCCTGGTCATCGGGTGGCTGAGCAGCCACTTCTCAGAGGAGGCGCTGCTCCGTGCCAGTGTGCTGGTCTTCATCGCGGTGGGCCTGGCCATGGTGAGGGCTCCCCGCTGTGGCCCACTCCCCTGACCCTCTCACTGGAACAAGGCCACTTTGGTCAGTGCCATCTGTGCTTGGGCTCCTGGCCCCCTCCACACTCCACCCCCACCCAGGGCCAGCTCTTCAGCAGGGGCAGCAGCCAGGGTGGAGAGGGACGGGTAAGGCCCTAGACAGGAGCCTGGCCTCACTCAGCTCAGCCCCCACCTGCCTGTCCCAGGCCTCGATGTCCAGCGTCTTCCACTTCTGCCTCCTGGTGCCCGGCCTGGTGTTCAGCATGTGTTCCCTCAACGTGGTCACCGACAGCATGCTGACCAAGGCCGTCTCCAGCTCGGACACGGGTGAGCTGCGGCCAGCTGGTGGGCAGCCTCCTCCAGGAAGCCCTAGGAAAAGCCCAGTGGGGGTGGGATGGTCTAGGGGCCTGGGGTCTGTGTGGGGTGGGTGGGGTGAGTGGGGTGGTGGGCTGGGGTCTGTGTGGGGTGGGTAGGGTTGGAAGCTGGGGTCTGTGTGGGTTGTGTGAGGTGGGGGCCTGGGCTCTGTGTGTGGGGTGTGTGTGGGGTGGGGTAGGTGGGATGGGTGCCTGGGGTCTGTGTGGGTTGGGTGGGGTAGGGAGGGTGGAGGCCTTCAGTCTGTGTGGGGTGGGTAAGGTGGGGGGTCTGGGGCCTGCAGGAGACTCCTGCCCACCACCGAGTCCAGCTGGGGGCAGGCCAGGGGCCTGGAGGGGCTGCCCAGAGGTGGCGTTTGGCTTGGCTCTGAGAAGCACCTAAGGCCTTGCCTGCCAGGCCCAGAAGCCCAAGGGACTTCTGGGCCCTCCCGCAGCACAGGGGGGTCACGCAAGTGCTCAGGAACTTCCTGAATGAATGAGTGAATGAATGCACACCATTCATTAAATTCAGAAAGTCCCTAGGCCACTTGGGGAACACAGGTCCCCCAGATATAGACCTCCCCATACCCACTTCGGACCTAGCTTGCTTTCTTGAAGCCTAAGAAAGCCCGTCGTGCAATCTGGGGATGCCCTGGTCCCAGCAGTGCCCTGGCTCCTGCCCCACCCCAGGCACGGTATGGGCTCACACTGGCCAGTGCAGGGCGCTTCTGGGTGCTGGCGGAGGTCACAGGTCTCAGGGAGTCCTTTGGAGTCCTGGAGATTCTTCCCTCCCCAGCAGCAGAGCCAGAAAACTCAGGGCACAAGTCTGACCCTCCTTCCAGCTGCCTGTCTGGGAGGTGGCAGCCCAAGGTCTGGAGGTGCAGATGTCGGTGGGCTGCAAAGGATAGGCCTCTTCTCAGGGCTGCCTGGGAACCTTCAAGGCCTTCCGGGACTGTGACTCCACGGTGCAGGGACTGGCGAAGGCTGAGCCAGGAGGGCTTCCTGGAGGAGGTTGGGCCGAATTTTGGAGAGGCCAGGAGGAGGGCACAGGGGAGGAAGGCCTGGAGAGCTGAGGAAGAGGGCTCTGGATGCTGAAGGAGGCCAGGCCCAGGCCACTGGGCCACGTCATGCCCAGATGCCACCGTTGGCCTGGAGGGAGCAAGCACCCGGTTCCCAGCAGCAGCCTGGAAACCCACAGAAGGGGCAGAAACTGCACCCTGTGTCTGCAGGAGAGGCTACTCTTCATGGTCCTCCACGCTGGGCCCTGAGCCCGGTGGGGCCTGGCCAGCTGCTTATCACAGCTGACAGGCCAGAGACTTCCAACTCCAGGAGACCTGGGCTCTGAAGCCCCTGGAGCCAGTGACCCTCTGGGCACAGGACCAGAGGCAGAGAATCCTCCCACCCGGAGTCCTGGGAGGTGCTCCCGCTCAGTGACTGCTGCCCTCCATGCTGCCCGAGTGTTGACAACAGCCACGGATAGTGTCACATGTCTGTCCGTGCTGGGGGTAGCTGGCCAGAGGGCTGCGGAGACAAGGCGTGAGGGACTGACTTAGCTGCTGTGCAGGTGGGGGCCATCTGAGGGTCCTGGGAAGCAGCTCGGTCTTGCTGGGGCTACAGGAGGGGCAGGTGGAGGGGCCCAGTGTGGGCTCCGGAAACCCCTCTGTGGCCCCGTTGGGGGAGTTCCACGGAGCAGTAGGAGCTCTGCAGGATGGGGCTGCTGGAGGAAGGGCTGATGGCCAGGAGGCGCTGTGGGGCAGGGGCATCATGCCCACTCTAAACTCGAGCCCCAGCAGTGTCTAAGGCCAGGCTCGGCCTCCCGACTGCATCACCAGCCCTCAGTGGTGGTGTGTACCCTGGGAAAGAGCCGCCCTGACACCCTGGGCGGGAGGTTCCGGGCCCAGGCTCAGATGCCATCTCCCTTGGCAGGCTTGGCAGGGCGGGGCCTGCTGCCGTGACCTGTGGCCCTGTTCCCAGGCTCCTCCTGCACTTAGAAACTTTCTGGAGCAGGGAAGAGACAGCCCAGTGCCCTGGGAAGCACCCTGTGCCGCCTCCTGCACGGCTGAGTGGTCCTCAGGGAACAGGCACAGAGAGCTGCATTTGCTCCGGAGGCCGGGTGGGTGGCAGGGGGTGGGGGACCGGAGGTTCGAAACCAGCAGGTAGAATGGCCTGAGGGCTGTTTTCGGGAGTATTTCACCAGACTATGAAGGCTCGGACTGTGCCTCCGTGAGGATGGGGGGATTAGGAGTGGCGGGAGGCCATGGCTGTGTCCAGGAAGCGGGCCACTGCCCAGGGAGCTGCTCAGGGCCTGACTCCCCCGACCCACCCTCCAGGGACCATGCTGGGCCTCTGCGCCTCTGTGCAGCCGCTGCTTCGAACCCTGGGACCCACCCTCGGTGGCCTCCTGTACCGCAGCTTCGGCGTCCCCATCTTTGGCCACGTGCAGATTGTAGTCAATACCCTTGTCCTCCTGCTCCTCTGGAGAAAGCCCATGCCCCAGAGGAAGGACAAAGTCCGGTGACCGCTGCCCAGACACAGACTGGCAATAAACTCCTAATAAACCCCTCCGACCTCTTCCGGCCTGGTTTCTGCAGGCTCACGCAAGGCCTGCCTGCGTCCTCCGGGGAGGGATGGGGCCTCCGGACTGGAGGGCTTCCTAGAGGAGGGGGCCCACAGCTGGGCAAAGCTCTGGGGAGGACAGAACCACCCAAATTGGTTCCCAGTCATTAGCGTAGCCCTGAGCCCACTCACAGAGGCACGGCCTGCTGCCACACAGACCCTCTTGCTAACACCCCAAGCAGTGGGGAGCTCCTGCCCAACCCCCTGCCCACAGTGTGCCTGCCCAAGAGCAGAAATAGTTGCTTTAAAAGATCAATCCCAGAACTCTGGGAAACTAAGGCAGGCAGATCACAAGGTCAAGAGATCGAGACCATCCTGGCCAACATGGTGAAACCCCGTCCCTACTAAAAAAAAAAAAAAAAAAAAAAAAAAAAAAAAAAAAAAAAAAAAAATTGCTGGGCGTGGTGGCTCAAGCCTGTAGTCCCAGCTACTCAGAAGGCTGAGGCCGTAGAATCGCTTGAACCCTCGAGGCAGAGGTTGCAGTGAGCCAAGATTGCGCCACTGCACTCCAGCCTGGCAGCAGAGCGAGACTCCATCTCAAAAAAAAAAAAAAAAAAAATCAGGGACCCAAGGCCTTCCTACATGGAAGGGAAATTGGCCTAACTCTGCCGGACGGCACAGCACATACCCAAACCTGATCCTTGAACTAACTGCACCAAGGACAGCCCAGCACACACCCAAATCCTGGTCCCAGAACTCTACCAGGGAGGTTGCCAGCCACCCAAACCCCAGAACTGCACCAGACACACTGCCAGCCACCTGAACCCCAGAACTTCACCAGATGCTGCCAGCCAACTGAACCCCAGAACGTCACCCGATGCTGCCAGCCACCAGAACCCCAGAACTGTACCAGGGAAGCTGCCAGCCAATTGAACCCCAGAACGTCACCAGATGCTGCCAGCCAACTGAACCCCAGAACGTCACCCGATGCTGCCAGCCACCTGAACCCCAGAATGTCACCAGATGCTGCCAGCCACCAGAACCCCAGAACTGTACCAGGGAAGCTGCCAGCCAACTGAACCCCAGAACTTCACCAGATGCTGCCAGCCACCGAAACCCCAGAACTCCACCAGACATGCTGCCAGCCACCGGAACCCCAGAACTGCACCAGACGCTGCCAGCCACCTGAACCCCAGAACCGCATCAGACACACTGCCAGCCACCCGAACCCCAGAACCACACCAGACACGCTGCCAGCCACCCAAACCCGAGAACCGCACCAGACACGCTGCCAGTCACCCAAACCCTGGAACTGCACCAGACACACTGCCAGCCACCCGAACCCCAGAACTGCACCAGACACACTACCAGCCACCCAAACCCCAGAACTGCACCAGACGCTAACACCCACCCGAACCCCAGAACTGCACCAGACACGCTGCCAGCCACCCGAACCCCAGAACTGCACCAGACACACTGCCAGCCACCTGAACCCCAGAACTGTACCAGACACACTGCCAGCCACCCAAACCCCAGAACTGCACCAGACGCTGCCAGCAACCTGAACCCAGAACGGCACCAGAAACACTGCCAGCCACCCAAACCCCAGAACAGCACCAGACATGCTGCCAGCCACCCGAGCCCCAGAACTTCACCAGGGAAGCTACCAGCCACCCAAACCGCAGAACTTCACCAGACGCTGCCAGCCACCCAAACCCCAGAACTTCACCAGATGCTGCCAGTCACTGGAACCCCGGAACTGCACCAGGGATGCTGCCAGCCACCTGAACCCCAGAACTCCTCTGGTGTACCCCTCTCTCAGCCTCTTTGTTCTATAGCTCAGTGGTCCCAACATTTTCTGCCCCAGGGACCAGTGTCATGGAAGACCATTTTTCCACGGATTTGGGTGGGGGAAATGAAACTTTCCGGGTGTTAGATTCTCATAAGGACACCCTCCTAGATCCCTCCCATGCGCAGCTCACAATAGGGTTCTCGCTCCTATGAGAATCTGCCCCTGCCACTGACCTGGCAGGAGGTGGAATTCAGGCGGGAATGCTCACCCCAACACTCACCTCTTGCTTTGCAGCCGGGTGTCCTGATTGCCGGCCAGGCCACCTACTGCTGGCTTCCCAGCCTCCTGACCACAGCACTTCCTGACCCCTCACCCCCAGTCCCCGGCCCTGGGCTCTGGGGAGAAGAACTGGGCATGGGGAGCCGGCCCAGCCACTGTGACCGATTGACCCATCTGGAGAGAACAGGTTCTCCACAGCCTCAGCGAGGGTCTGCAGCTGTCCCCAAGACCATGAAGGCTACCCCTCCTCTCCCTGGGCTACCTTGAAAAGAAACTGTTAAAACGTGGACTCCCCAACTCTTAGAATTCCACTGTCCTCAGAATTTGAGGAATTCCACAATTCCTCCAACTAGAAGCGGCCTCAGAGCTCAGGCCTGATCGTGCCTCTGCTCGAAGCCCCCAGGGGCAAGGCCTCTCCTGACCTCGGACATCCGTCCAGGTGAGGCTCTGGGGGACAGCTGGGAGGTCCGGGAGCCAGGGCAGTGCCCTCAGCTGCTCTTTTCTGCCTCTTGCATGCGCCCCTGCCCCATTTGCATGGGGGCTTCACAAAGTGTGCTGGGAGAAACTTCCTGGCAGGAAATGGTTTCTTCTGCATCTAGCACCAAGACTTCCACAGGCCATGCAGCAAAGGGACAGCAAGGGACAGCTCTCTCCCCGCCCTGACCCCAGACCAGCTAAGCGACTTCGTTGGCCCCATAGCAACACAGATTAGGGCCCGATTCTGGTACTTCTCTGCCTCCCCTACCGGCATCCCTCCAGTCAGGAAGGTTCCAGAAACGAAGGCCCCATCATGGGGCAAGGAGTCATGCCTGTGCCTCTCATCAGCTCCTCAGCTTGTTCATCACCAGGAGCCCTTCTGGGCAGGGGACACACTTCCTGAGCCCTGTCTCGGACCCTCCTTGTCTTTCAGAGAACGCAGCCAGGGAGGGCAGCAGCCATGCTGCTCTGCTATCTCAGCAAGAGGGGCTCAGGCCTCTCCATCTCAGGGTCCTGGGACAGCACCTGGACGTGCAGAGACCTCTGCCTCCTGCCCCAACATCAGAGACAGCCCAGAACTCTCTCTTGTTCCCTCAAAAGCAAAGGTGACCCTGCCCACCCCACACTGCGGGCACAGGCCAGGAGCGCTGGCAGCAGGCAGCCAGAGGGCTGAGGGTTGCCCTCGGGCCTGGTGCCAGGTGGTGTGTATGGAGGAGGGGCTGCTGGGGAAGGTCCCCCACCACAGGCAGCAGCAGGGCCATGGGCCACCACCCTGTCCTCCCCGGCTCAGCTCCCCAGGACCCAACAGGGAGCGGAAGGTAGCCAGGTCAAACCCCAGGGCACTTCCTGGCCTCTGGGGAGGCTGCTTGGAAGGAGGGTGTGGACCAGGCCCAGCAGATGACACGATTCATTTATTCATTCAAAGCCGGTTGCCAGCGCCTTTCACACCAGCACGGCAGGACTGGATCAGGGTGACCTGCCCTTCCCTTCCCGGGCCTCCACCCCCGCCCCAGCAGGAATCTCACTGAACCACAGCCGGATGGTAGAAAAGTGAACTGACCAAATTTATTTGCGATGGGCGTATCAATGCAAAAACAAGGTATCAAGACTATAAAATATGTGGCTACAAAGAATCAGCGAAATAAATACATAGATATTAGATAGTCCAATAACTTAAGGCGCCCGTGCTGTGGGGCGAGGATCTGCGCGCTCGGCGAGACGTTCTGCTGCTGCAGGGTTGGCGAGCGCGGGCTGCGTCGGGACCCCGGTCCTGCTCGTCCACTGTGCGGCCCTGTGGGAAAAGGACTGGGTCAGGGGGCTGCGCCAGGGCCGGTCGGGGTCCAGCCTCAGGGGCCCCGAGGCCCCGGCGCGAGGGGAGCAGCGCGATCGCGGGGCGCCGGGTCCCCAAAGAGCTGCAGAGCCCCGCCCCGCCCCCCGCCCCGCCGTCGGGCGTGGAAGTGGCTTTTCCCCAAGGACCCCGACCCGGCTATCGGGCGCGGGCCGGCACTCACCGCGGCGGGCTCATGGCGTGCGGGGCTGGGGCTGCGGGGAGGGGTCCGAGGGCTCGGAGGGCTCGGAGGGCTCGGAGGGCGCAGCGGCCTCGGCGGGTGCTGCGAGTGCGGCGGGCGCGGGGCGCTCCTGGCGGCTGCGAAAGCCCTGCAGGGCGCGGCGGTTCTGGAAATCGATGAGCGCCAGCGCGATGGCCGCGTTCCAGCAGCTCTCGCCCGCGCAGCGGAAGTCGATCTCCTTGCGGTCGGTGGTGACGATCGTGAAGTACACGTACTTGCCCGTGCGCTCCACGCAGTCCACCTTCAGCAGCGAGTGGAAGCGCAGCTCCTTGGGGCGCGCGCGGGGGCTGGCGGGGAACAGGCTCAGGCGGTCGGAGGTGAGCACGCCGCGCTTCTTCTTCCAGAGCTGGAACAGGCTGTCGCTGCGCTTCTCCAGCTCGCCCTCGCGCAGCACCTCGTCCGGGGACTTCATGGCCGGCCGGGTTCGAGACTGGGGGCGGCAACACGGCGGCGACGAGGGCGGTGGCGGCGCCGGCTCAGCGCCTCGTGGCCCCGGCGCGGCCTTTATAGCGCCCCTCCCCGCCCCGCCCCGTCGGGCCCGCCCCGGCCCGCCCCGACCCTCGAGCCACCGCGCCCGCCTGCGCCCCGCGCGCCCCGGGCCATCCCCTCCCCAGCCCGTCCGGGCCCGCACGTCGCGTCCTCGCCACGGTCAGTTCCCGGCCGCCCCCTCCGGTCTCGGAAGCCCGCGCTCCTCTTGTCCCCGATGCCCCAGCGGTCCGACCCCGTGGGGTGACGTGAGGTCCCGCCCCGCCCGGGCGCTCGCCCGCACCGTCGCGCAGGCCGGCCCCGCGGAGGAATGCGCTGCAGCCAGCCCTGCCCGCGGTGACTCACGCTGGGGAGCCCCAGGAAGCACCCGCGGACCCGGGGTCGGCCCACGGTGGGGAGACGGCAGGGA